TTTTAGTAGAGACGGGGTTTCACCATGTTGACCAGGATGGTCTCGATCTCTTGACCTCGTGATCTACCCGCCTCGGCCTCCCAAAGTGCTGGGATTACAAGCGTGAGCCACCGCGCCCGGCCCGATATTGTCACTATCATCCAAAGTCTGTAGTTTACATAAGGGTTCACTCTTGGTGCTGTTCATTCTATGGGTTTCAATAAATGTACAGTGACATGTATCTAAAAATCCTCTTTGCTCCCACCTATTCATCCCTGCCTCCCTAATTGTAGTCTTTAAAAACATAAAGAATTGAATTTACGCATTATTGATTGATAAAAATAGCATGATAGAGATGACCTGGACTCACTAGGAAGATGCTTGAACCAGGGTACTCTGAGTTGGCCACATATCCACAGCAGACATAAAATGCTTAGTGCCATGTTTGATACAGGTGAGGAGCTCAACGAGGACAATTAGGGCCTTTTGGTCAGTAGCATTCAGTATCTGAGCCACACACATTCCCATTTTCTTTCACTCATTCATTCATTCATTCATTTGATGGAGTTTTGCTCTTGTTGCCCAGGCTGGAGTGCAATGGTACGATCTTGATTCATCATAACCTCCACCTCCCGGGTTCAAGTGATTCTCCTGCCTTAGCCGCCCAGGTAGCTGGGATTACTGGCATGCGCCACCACACCTGGCTAATTTTGTATTTTTAGTAGATATGGGGTTTCACCATGTTGGCCAGGTTGATCTTAAACTCCTGACCTTAGGTGATCCACCGCCTCGGCTTCCCAAAATACTGGGATTACAAGCATGAGCCACTGTGCCTGGCCGACATGTTCCCATTTTCTATGAGCTCCTGACAGCCCTCTCTGCTTCTTATTTGCAGTCCTATCTCCTCGGCAGGCAGGGCCGAGGTGTCATATTCCTGCTTTACCTTCTTGATGCCCAGTGGAGTTAAGTACCCAGAGATGTGGAAGAAATAGTTTTTCATTGGGGGACAACTGATCAGTTGATTAGGAGGACGTTGTCCTCCTCTCTTCCTGTTAACAGCTGATCCCTGAAAGTTCAACTCAAAGTCCTTTTGTCTTGGAAACTGGCCTGGTCTGCTCAGGCACAGTCTACCAGCCCTCAAGGCTTTTTCTCACCAAGGCATGGCAGAGTGGCCATTATTCCCTATTCCCAGAGCCTGTATTGCCAAGGAGCTGCTTAGATGGAGAGTTCCTCTTGCTGTATGTTTATTTGCAAAAGAACAGAAACAAGCAAACAAAAGGATGACCTTTGGCTAAATGGGTATAAAGTTGGAAAATAAAATTGAATTTGAGTATTTAATGGGGTTAGGAGCAGAGTGAGATAGTCATGGGGAGAGAGCACACCCTCACTGTGGAAATTACACAGCCATATGTGAATGGAAATTCCATCCAACAATCTGGAAAAGATGACCTGAGATCCCAGCTGTGCTTCTGTGGGTGGGTGAAAGGTGGCAGTGCCTCAATACAGACATGGCCAGTTGGGGTCTCTCTCAAATGCATGCACACGTACAAACATGTACACACACACTCCCTTATATGCACAGATATCTTTTCCCCATAGATAAGTATCATTTGTTTAACCAAAATATTATGGTTTTCCATGGTTTGCAGGGCACCTGCACACTCCCGTATACTCACACACACACACCTTTTTCCTCCTGACCCCATGACACACAGCTCACATACATACCACACACCCTCAACTACACATTACACAGAAAACTCATAAAACACATAAACCATAGGCACATACTCCACACAAGGCTGTCTATACACAAGCACATGCCCTTCCATCTTGTGGACACTTACCAGGGGAAGCCAATATGCATCAGAAAGTTCACTCAGTGCCTCCCAGTATCCTGCACACCCAGCTCACTCAGCATTCATTCAGCCTTCCTTCTAATGATCTACTAGACATGCCTTGGTTCTCGTAGGAACTCGGCCTCCACAACTCTTTAAAGACACAGATGTTTGCAGTTTTATCTGTCTTACCTGGACCACAACCACTTGGATGGAAACATGGTCTGGGAGTCGGATGGGTGCCCGGAAATACTGAGACAGAGCCACGAGCAGGTGTAAGATGGCCACCAGGCTCTTGGCATGAACAGCTGAAATGAAAGAAGAGGGAAAATTATAGGATCTTCTTCCAGGTTCTAGGCAACATAAGCAGATGTTCAAAGTACAGTAGTACCTCACTGATAGAGTTTGGATATTTGTCCCTGCCCAAATCTCATGCTGAAATGTAATCCCCAGTGTTGGAGGTGGAGCCTGGTGAGAGGTATTTGGATCATAGGGTGGATCCCTCATGAATGGCTTAGTGCCATCCCCTTGGTGATAAGTACACTAGTGCTCTGAGTTCACAAGAGATCTGGTCGTTGAAAAGTATATAGCATCTCCCTGACGCCCGCTCTCCCTCTTGCTCCTGCTTTCGCCGTGTGAAGTGCCTGTTCCTGGCTGCCTTGAGAAAAAGGTCCCTGAGGCCTCCCTAGAAGCCACACAGATGCCGGCCAGTTAAACCCCTTATTTATACATTACCTAGCCTCAAGCATTTCTTAACGACAATGCATGAACGGCCTAATACATCAACCCAATGTCCCTTTATATCATGCCTGAGGGTCAGGGGACACCTGTGGTCATCACAGGCCTCACTCTGGGCCCCCGCAAATCTCTCCTTTCTTGAGGCAGGGTCTTGCTCTGTTGCTCAGGCTGGAGTGCAACGGCACAATCCTAGCTCACTGCAGCCGCGAAATCCTAGGCTTGAGCAATACTCCCGCCTCGGCCTTTGTGGAGTAGCTGGGACTACAGGCATGTGCCGCCATGCCCGGCCCCCTCAGTTCTTTGCCAGGCCCCATGGAGCTCCTTCTTGGGTCATAGTATTGCCAGGTTTCCAATGTGACACCTCTCTAATCCCAGGTTCCCATCAGGACACTGACAACTGCTGAGTTCTAAGCTCAGATCTGCTCTCCCCAAGTCCCATTCCACTCTAATCACCATGAGCATGTCTGCTCTGCACTCCGTCTCCCTTCCCACTTAACCATGAACTCTAGATTATCACTACTACTTTCTCAAGACTGTACACAAAGCAGACCCTTAATAAACGGACGCTGAGTCGGAAACACTAGGTCCCTTCCTTGGTTCAGGGCTTTAAGATCCCTGGAAGAAGGTATGAGAGAGACATTCAAAGGGCTGTGTTACTCGCTGGAGTGTCACTATGGTCACTGTAGGCAATGCTCTTTAAGAAACAGTTGTATGGGATGTTATTGAGCCAGGGGACTGCCATAGTTGCTGAATCATGTGCTGAAAGTTAAGCCACTTACACCAGAGAAGGCTGGGTCACAACAGGCTGTAGTTTTCTTTCTAGATGAGGAGAAACAGACTGACTCAGTGAGGTACACAGAGGGTCAGGCAGACTGGAACCTGAATTCTAACTTTATAATCTACCATTTATTTACTGGCTACATGGCCCCGGGTAGGGTAGGCCACTAAAGTCCCCTGAGTCTTAATTTGCTCATCTTTACAAATAGAGGTAGCAGAACCTATGTGGACATACAGGTTTTAAAGATTTCCCAAAAAATTTCATTAAAAAAAAAATGAAAATAGTTACGCTAGAGTGGAAAGATAGTCTTAAGTTTTTCCTATTTCAAAATATTCTTTAGAATAAAAATATGCCATCTTTTCAATTAAAACAAATTTTAGCCACTGTTGAACACTTGTGCGCTCCTCTCATTGCTGCCTCTCAACATGTCTCCTGGGAGTTTTCTCTCTGATGCTCCTGGAACACAGCAGCTGCCCAGGAATGGCTGATATTTTTTATTATAGCTTACATGAAAGTATCTGGCACCTAGGCAACTACAATATGCCGGCTTTCTTCCCTCTCTTTCTCATCAAAGGGAAGATTCACCAGATATTTTGCCTGCCTTCATAGCCCCACCAGCTTCACGGCTCCTCATTACAGGGGGCATTTAAGGGAATAACAAAAAAATGCCTATTTTGTATACTTTGCATGCACTCGTTCCATTATTAGGATGTCATTCTGTCTTCCCTGGGATCAGTGAGTCTGCTTTAGCAGAAGCTTTGAGAAATCACCAAGAAAAGAAAATGATTCAGACATCCCTTTGTAACTCATTAGGGTTTCTTGTTATCACTGCTACTTCAAAGAAGGTTTTCTACTGATTAGGAACAGCAGCTCACCATCACCACAAACAGAAGATACACTGCTCCAAACTCCTAGCCTTCCAGAAGGTTTCGGTTTTGGGCTTTCAAGCCTTGTCAACTGAGTTTTACCAAGACTCACAGCCTCAAAAAAAGATCCTGATGGGGCACTGACCCACTGTGACCCATGGACATAGTGTGGTCACCATCGGAGGCAAATCCAGGTTTGCTCTTCTGATCAGAACCACTGGCCCAGCACCTGGCCTCACCGAGGGCTGTAAGAACATTTGCTACCCCTCTCCCATTTAATGGCAAAATATAATGCTAGAAAAGTTGTGATCAAACAAGTTGTTCTTATACCCTGGTGACACTGTAAGCCATCTCCCTGTCTTGGTGAGCAATCCAGAACTATATTGTAAGCATCATATAGATGTCAAACTCTTTCAATGAATGCTCTATCCTTCTGGGATTGTTTTTGAAATACATAGTCTACAGTCTCACACATATACATGCTATATTACACGTACAAAGATGTAAGTTACTGTGTAACATACTATCATTTTGTAAAACCCTGGAAAACACTTTGTCCAATAACAAGAGGATGGTTTAGATACACATTTTTCAAACTTTTTAATATTAAGCACAGAAATACTTTGTTCTAAAAGCTGATAGTTAAAACTCATGAAAAAAGTACAACTGCTCTGGTTAAAGTGAGGATTCTGAGTCCTAACTGCAGCCTACTCATGACTTCGTGTCTTCTCCTTGGTGATGCTAGAGTTTCTCCTTGCAAATCCCTAGTTTTGGACCAACCACAGTTGAATAACCACTGCTTTAAGAAGTTACGATATATCCACAAAATTAATAGTTTGCATGCATTAAAAATCATAGTTAAGACAGTATAGCTATATGTGTGTATGTGTGTATATATCTATACACACGTGTATATGTGTGTGATATACATAGCTGTAAAGTTTGCATTTATGGATATATACATACATAAAAGTATATATATATGTATATATACATAGACACACATAAATATGTGCTTGTGGCCAACATTTGGAAAGAAATACATTTTTAAAAATAAAAACAGTTATGCTAGAGTGGAAAGATAGTTTTGCTTTTTGTTTTTTTTTCTGAGATGGAGTTTTGTTCTTGTTGCCTGGGCTGGAGTGCAATGGCAAGATCTCAGCTCACTGCAACCTCCTTCTCCTGGTTTCAAGTGATTCTCCTGCCTCAGCCTCCTGAGTAGCTGGGATTACAAGTACATGCCACCACGCCTGGCTAATTTTTGTGTTTTTAGTAGAGACAGGGTTTTACCATGTTGGTCAGGCTGGTCTCGACCTCCTCACCTCAAGTGATCCACCCATCTTGGCCTCCCAAAGTGCTGAGATTACAGGTGCCAGCACCCGGTCTTTTTTTCTATTTTGAAATATTCTTTAAAATAAAAATATGCCATTTTTTCAATTAAAACAAATTTTACCCACTGTGTACCCTCATCATCATCATTTAATTTGCTTAAATTAAAACAAATTCTACCCACTGTTTGTGCACCCTCATCCTTGCTGCCTCTCAAAATGTCTCCTGGCAGTTTTCTCCCTGGTGTTCAGTAGAAGCTGAGGCCAACATGTGCCTGCACTCAAGTCAGGATGGCAACATGTGGGATAAAAGCAAGCGCCCAGGTCTCACTATGCAAGCCAGGAACTGCAGCTGCAAGGCTAAGAGTGTCACTGCAGGGCTGGAGAGCAGTATTTAAAATGGAGCTGCTGAGTTAGAAATAGTCTTCCAAACATGTCCTGTGGTGGAAACAGAAATTGGTGTAATTTTTCTGGAGGCAATTTAACATTATGTATTATGACCTCAAAAATGCTCTACCCTTTGGCCCTCAAATACCACTCTTGGGTATTTATCCTAAAGAATTAATTATGGCTACAAGCAAGGAGAATGCATCCAGCTGTATTGATGATATCAGTGGGAAAACGGAAAGCAATCTAAAAACCCATTTTCAGTTAAATAGATTGATAGATCCATACAGCGTCATGTTATATAATATTAAAAGTCACATACAGAAGAATAGTTAATGATTTGTTAATATACACATATTCTAAACAATATAAACAGGTTGATCTCATTTTTGTTAAAAATCATGTTTTTTATATATATATACACACATATATAAAGTATTATATGCTATTTATTTATTACACATGCACAGACACATACACACAGAACTTGCAGAACACAGCGCAATGTTCGTGGCTCTTGTATCCAGATGGGCAGTGAAAAGACAAAAGTCCCTGCCCTCATGAAGGTTACATTCATAGTTTCTGAACCTCTCTATGCCCCGATTTTCCCATCTGTAACATGGGAATAAAAGAATTCTTACTTCAGATGGGTGAGTGAAGATTACACAGACACAAGACATACAATAAGCATCATAAATATGTTGTTTATTTAAATTTTAGTTATACTTTCTAAATTTTTAATAATGAAAATTACTGTTGTGAATTAGGGAAAAAAAAAGGAAGAAATCTCTAAAGAGGTAACTCAGCAGCCTGTCCCTACCACCCTCATCCTGAGCAGAGAGGCACCACAGTGTCCTCAGGTTTATATCCAGGGAAGGTAACAGACAGGAGGAGACAGGGCTTTTCCCCAGGAGCTGTGCCTGCCACATTCCTTATGGAACAAGCCACTGTGACTTTGTAAACAAACCCAGCTCTTCAAAAGCCCCAAGGCATCACAGGGAGCTAGCCACTGAGGTAATTATTCCCTCTGACCCAGTAATCCATCTCAGTTCTAGAAATCTATCTAAAGGGAGGAATTCAAGAGAAGCAAGAAGAGGCACAAGCTAAGACATTCAGTTTGGTGCTATCTGATATTAGAAATAGGTTGGGAAACATCCCAGAAGGATCAGCATCAACGTAGGGTTTAAGTTAACTATGGAATGTCTACCCTATGAAATAGAAACAGCTATCAAAAATTTTAACTACAAAGACCAAAGGAAATATAGAAAATATGTGTGATGTAAAAGCAAGAAAAAAATAACAACACACAAAAGTGTATATGACTTGGGCCAGGCACAGTGGCTAACACCTGTAATCCTGGCACTTTGGGAGGCCAAGGCAGGTGGATCACCTGAGGTCAGAAGTTCAAGACCAGTCTGGCCAACATGGCAAAACCCTGTCTCTACTAAAAATACAGAAATTAGCCAGGTGTGGTGGGCACACCTGTAATCCCAGCTACTTAGGAGGCTGAGGCAGGAGAATCACTTGAACCCGGGAGGCGGAGTTTGCAGTGAGCCAAGATTGCACTGCTGCACTCCAGCCTGGGCAACAGAGAGAGACTCCAGCTCAAAAAAAAAAAAAAGAAAAAGAAAGAAAGTGTATATGACTCGACCAAGCTAAATGATGCAGTGATGTGACTAGTATCAAATGAAACAAGTGAAATGAAACAAACAAAGGAAAGCAGCTAGATTAGCATGGTACTACGAGTGATGATTTTTCTTGCACACATTTCCCTATAAGAAATTAAAGTAAGCAAAAACCAAACAAATCATTCAAAGCCACTGGAGAGATGTGGCTTTAACAGGCTGTTCTTCTATCTCAGCCTTTCCCAAATTGGGTGCCATGATAAGTTAAATGATGTCTGACTTATTTTTTTGGAGGGTACAGGTAGTTGGTCCATATTCAAAGGAGTGGGAGATAGGATCAAATAAAACTAAGCAGCCGTCTTCATTAGAGGACTTCTCTCTAATGTTCATGACTATTGTGGACTTATAAAATGCAGACACATAGTCATCAACCTCCCTGCCATCCCTTGTTCCACCCCATTGACACTACTAGAATTCCTGGAGCAGAGGGAAACGGACCCCCTCTCCCTGATAGCATCTAGGGCCCAGAGCATGGCCTTCCCTGCTCCTGTCCTCAGGTGTCTCCCTCTGCAGGCAGAGAATGACCTCTTTCCGGCACCATGCTGCTGTGCAAAGCAGCTGATCACTCTGTGCATGAAAATGTGTAACTATGCTTAGGAGGCACTTGGTGTCTCATCCCCAATGTCAGATGTTAGAGACCTGCTGGAGAGATTGTGACTGGCTGTTATTGGATTCCTAAGTTTGAGGTAAAGATTCCTTTTTCTTTCCCAAGTTTGAAAGGTATTTTTTTTTTTTTTTGTAAGGAGCTGTTGATCTTAAGTTATATAAATTGGACACGATGAAGCACAGTACTTACTCCCTTAATATTTAAAGGCAAAACACAGTCTAACCTTTTATTAACTAAATTTGTATTTTTATCTATTAGAATAAAAAACACAACTTTGGAATCCAGTTGTTGCTGATAGATTCACCTTATCTGCGGATTAATTCTGAAAGGGACTCACTGAGTCCATATTAGACACCAGGCCTTTGAAGCAGCAAATGAATTAATAATTTATAAACTAATAATAATCATTATAAACTAATAATTTATGCTTTCTGAGGTCTCTGAGCTATGCTAGTTGTGAAAAGCTGAATTTTAAAATCCCGTTCCAGTACGTGTGATCTCAGCCATATCTTTGTTCTTTCTAGAAAATGAAAGGAGGTTGGAAGGGCATGGGCTTTAGAAAAGACAGAGCTGAATCCTTGCTCCCTGCTTCTCAGCTGTGTGAATGTGGGGACCTCAGCTTCCCAAAGCCTCTCCAAGCTATAGACAACAGCTTTCTCAAAAGGTTGTGCTGAGACTTAGAAGAAGTAGCTCAGTGAATGAGTTTCCTTCCTGTCCCCATTTCACATGAGGTTTCTATGGAAAGCCTTTTACAGAAGAGAAACATGAGATTTAGACATTTGGTTATTTTTCCCCAAGGGTATGTATGGAACTTCTTTTTCCCCAAGGGTATATATGGAAGTTCTAAGGAAGCAGGGCATCTTGTTCAAAGACAGATGAGTTTGACCCCCCTACCCTGAAGCCTGCCAGGCTTATGGATGGCTTCTTGGGGAAGCCTCATGGCAGGGACCACAGGCATTGCTTAGTGGCGTCCCTTTCCTTTGTTCAACTCACAATCCACATTCCACTTGATGCTCCTGGGAGGAAGTTTCAGGGTTTCATTGATCTTCTCCAGGACAGTCTGCAGTTTTTGCTTCTGAGCAATCTCTGATTGGGTAACCTCAGCAACATTTAGCTTCTCACTCTCAAGTTTCTCTGAGGGTGACAAGGGAAAAGAGAACAGCTGTTATGCTGGGCCCCAGACCACATGCACTTATTCAGTTATTCAGTCTCCCATGCACTCATGCACTCTCCAAACAATAGATACTGAGTACCTACCAGGAGAGGGACACTGCTGTCCACTCATCACCTGATGGTGGCACCAGCAGCATCAGCACTGTGATAGCCTCGTGATGATGTCTTGAATCCCCAGATCCCAGGATCATTTAACCTAGCCTGTCATATTTGAACTCTTCTCTATCATTCTGGAGTTTTCTCCTTCTTTTCAAGTCTGTCTTCTCCAAGGACATCTCTATGCCCCGACTGGAAAGCCTTCTCTATAGAGTTAGTCAAGATATTTTATATATTCCCATAGTACAGTCTGTGTCACGTCCAGTCATATTTACCTGTTTTAAGTATCTTCTTTCCTTTTAAACCCACCTGGAAGGTAACGTACTTACTGTGTCATATTTAATCAATTCTAAGGCACATATTTTTCACATTTTAACACCCTTAAAGTCAGGTTGTGTCTTACTGGCATCCTACAATGACTGCCAGCTAGGTGGAAGGTCTAAGAGTTATCACTGTCTCTAGGTGCGTGAACTTGCTCATAGCTCTTCATAGTATGATTACTTACATGTCTCAATAAGCCCACATGAGCACCTTCAAAAAGTATAAAATAAAAATTCTCAGCAACAAGAAAGCATTTGCTTAAAGTGATTTTTCTCTTTCTGAGTGGTACTTATATGACTTACATAATGGCGTGTTTTAAAAGCAGTGGTTTTTGTATGCAATGACACAACTTAATTCTGAAAAGGAAAAACACAGTCTAATCATTTTATTAACCTAAATATTTATTTAACTCTATTACAAAGAGCAAAACAACGTTGGACTCCTTAACAGGAAATGGGTTGCCTACCACTGGAACTTGCCTAATCAGTTCTCCAGAATTCATTTAAGATTGACACATTTAAAGCGTCTTTTCTCTTAATTTTTAAGGGCTGCTATATAAACAAATTTTACTGTGTATCACTGTTTCCCCTAATGCTTGCTTGCTTGCTTTATTATTTATTTATTCATTCATTCATTTATTTATTTGAGACAGAGTCTCGCTGTGTTGCCCAGGCTGGAGTGCAGTGGTAAGATCTTGGCTCACTGCAAATTCTGCCTCCCGGGTTCGATTCTCCTGCCTTAGCCTCCCAGGTAGCTGGGACTACAGGCATGTGCCACCACGCCTGGCTAATTTTTTGTATTTTTTTTTTTTTTTTTTTTTTTTTTGTGTTTTTTTTTTTTTTTTTTTTTTTTTTTTTTTTTGAGACGGAGTTTCGCTCTTGTTACCCAGGCTGGAGTGCAATGGCGCGATCTCGGCTCACTGCAACTGCCGCCTCCTGGGTTCAAGCAATTCTCCTGCCTCAGCCTCCTGAGTAGCTGGGACTACAGGCGCGTGCCACCATGCCCAGCTAATTTTTGTATTTTTAGTAGAGACAGGGTTTCACCTTGTTGACCAGGATGGTCTCAATCTCTTGACCTTGTGATCCACCCGCCTTGGCCTCCCAAAGTGCTGGGATTATAGGCGTATTTATTTTTAAGTAACTGTGGCTTATCTTAGCCAAATAACCCTTGGGTCATTCTTTGAAAATAAAGTTGCCCACTGGAGAATTTCTGCAGGTTCTGTGGATTTATGAATTCTTTTAAGCACCTCAGCAGGATAATCTCAAGGTATTCTTACCTGTGATGGCCTGAAATGTTCTCTTAAGTTGCTTCAAGACATCTTTCTCTCTATAGTTCAGGGATTTAATAAGAATATAGCTACACGTCTTCCTCTTACATGTTTAGGAGATCTTGTGTGTGCCTTATCGATTTTTAGGCTGAAATTTTACCTTGGATCCTCTCTTACTGAAAAAATGGCAAGTTGTTTTCTTTTATTTTCCCACTATTTTCGGATGATGTAATTGTCTCTATAGAAGCAAATTATTTTAATCTTACTTTGTAACTACGTACAAGCATTGGATAGAGGCTGCCCAAAATGCTAGGGTAAGAACCTTTTGGTCGTCTTGGCTCAGAGGAAAATATTGCAGGGAAAGATTATTGATTACTGTTGTGGAATGGGTGGGGAGGCGAGGAATGAGGAGGGGCCGCTTATTTGCTAGTTCTGCTGTATGACATCATTGTCTCTAAACGTTCATGTTTAAAATCTGGCACTGAATAGATTTTCAGCTTAGGTCTCTGAGTCTGTTTTCTAGGTCAATAACTTTTTCTTGCACAGTTGTCTATTTGATTCCTGTTTTGTAAAAACTGGTGTGACACAGTAAGAAAGATATATCTAGTCTCCTTGACCCCCTTGCTAGCACAGAACTTCTAAAACCCTTGTAACTTTCTGAAAGATAAGATGATAGTAGCCTCTTTTGTTATAATATTTGGGTTTTGTTCCCAGTTCCCAAAAAAGCTCTGAAGTGATTAAGGTGAAAGGAACATCTTTTGTTATTCATAACAAGACCCCTTCACCTACATCATAATGACATAACTTTTGGAAAGCTCTAAGGATAGGGAGCTGTTTGCCAGGAGAACCGAGTGGACTGGAACATTCAGCCTCCCAAAGTATTGGAACATACCCAACCCATAAGAAACGGGAGGGAAGCTGGAGGCTAACTACCAACGGCCAGTGATTTAATCAGCTATGCCTACTTAATGACGCTTCCACAAAAACTCTGGCTGAAAAGGCTCAGAGAGCTTCCTGGTTGGTAAATACATGAAGGTGCTGGAGGGTGGTGCACATGAGAAGGCATGGAAGCACTGTGCCTCTCCCACAAACCATGCCCTATGCGTCTCTTCCTTTTGGCTGATTCTGAGTTTTATCCTTTATAATAGACTAGTAAACCTAAGTTCCTTCCTGAGTTCTGTGTGCCATTCTAGCAAATAATCATATCCGAGGAAGGAGCTGTGGAAGCCCCTGATCTATTATAGCTAGTTGGTCAGAAGTATGGGAGATCTGAACTTGGTGAATGCCAACTGAAGTGGGGGCATGCTTGTGGCACTGAGTCCTTAACCTGCAAGGGCTGTGCTAACTTTGGGCCAGTGGTATTAAAATTAAATTGTAGGACACCTGTTGGTGTCCATAGAGAACTGGAAAATTGCTTAGTGTGGAAAACCCACAAATTTAGTGTCAGAAGCGTTAAGAGGATAGAGAAATGTGTTTTCCATTAATGGATTTCACAACTTACCTACTGAAGAGTCCATTGTTTTTCTGTTTCCACTAATATATTTAACTAGTCTATGATACTAAAATTGTAGTGCATTCTTCCTAAAATTAAATTTTTTCCCTTTGGTGTTTTTTTTGTTTAGCATCTGGTATTTCTTATTTAGGAGAAGCATTTTTGTGGCTTTGTTTTGCATTGCAAATGTTTTATAAAAGGTAATTCTGCTTTACTTCTTTCCATTTTAGTCTTTATGCTTTGGATTTATATTCTTGCTTTTAATTTTTGCTGTTGGATATTTTATTTTAGGCATTGATATTGGTATTAAGTGGATTTGCATAAAAATATATCTTGAAGTAATCCTTATTAAAACACACACACACATACACCCCCACAATATTCTTTCTCTCTTTTATTTATTTATTTTTTGAGATGGAGTCTCATTCTGTCACCCAAGCTGGAGTGCAATGGCACAGTCTTGGCTTACTGCAACCTCTGCCTCCAGGATTCAAGTGATTCTCCTGTCTCAGCCTCTTGAGTAGCTGAGATTACAGGCATGCACCACCACGCCCAGCTAATTTTTATATTTTTAGTAGAGACAGGGTTTCACCATGTTGGTCAGGCTGGTCTCGAACTCCTGGCCTCAAGTGATCCACCCGCCTCAGCCTCCCAAAGTGCTGGGATTACAGGCATGAGCCACCATACCTGGTTTTGTCTTTCTCTTTTAATAAAAATGAGATTATAGTATATACATATTTTTGCTATTGGCTTTTTCCCACTCATATATATAAGTCTTTCTAGGTCAATACATATGAATATCTCATTATTTTTCAAAACTGCATAATGGATTATATGACTTTTTTTAATATGACTTATAACTTATTCAATCATTCCCCTTGACATACTGCCAGGTTATAACCCACATTTTCCCTATTTGTAATAAAGTCGCAATAAACATCGTGTGTGTGTGTATGTATTACTAACTGATTACTGCTAGTAAACATGAAAGCTATTGCCTTACAGATTTTTTCCTAATATATTGTCATTTTACGAAATCCCTTTATTAGTTCGATTGCTGTTTGAGTCTTCAGCGTTCTCTGAGTATGCAACAAAACACTGTTGTCTCTATTTTGCAGGCTTATGTCACAGTTTAATTTTCTAACATTTTAAATAAAAGATTAATTTGAGAACTTTTTCTGCTGTTCCTACCCCCTCCTTTATTTTTAAGGTATTCAACCATTAAAATATAAGAGGCCCACTCAAATATTTCTATAGCTAAACAGTAATTTACTCAACATTACTAAGGGTTTAAAGATAATGTTCTTTCATGGGCTTTCAGTTAGTTCCATAAAATTCTCTATTGCTGAAGTTTTATTCTTCCAGGAAACTGTTTCTCTCATGTTTCCATAGTTACACAAATTGTTCATAACTAGTTTAACTCTTCAGAAGTATTAGGCATGATTTTGAAATTGATAGGATGTGATTTAGAAAATTTTCTCGGGTGGATTATTTTGTGAATCTTTGAGTTGTTTTTGAAGATATTATCCGAATTTGCTTTTGGAGAGATTGTATTTAGAAAACAATGAAACAGTATTCAAAAAGCTCTGAAGCATAAAGACAAGGCAGAATAAACTCAATTACCCTGAACGGTAGGAGAACTGAAATGTTCTAACAAATACAATTGTCATATATACTACACTATATTAATGTAACCACCCTACAAGAACTAAAATATGTAACATACTCTTTCCAGTATGAGCAATTCCTGAGTTGTTTAAAAAATACTTTTGTCTCCAAGTATAT